TAATTTCCAGTACTAATTTTTATTAACAATACAAAACAAAACAGTTGTTTTACTTTTAACAAAAAATGGTTGTAATATAATTAAAAAAAAAGCTGTCGTATATATATTATTAAAAAAAAAGAAATATCTATCAAAAAATTCACGATATAATGCTATTCACGGATGGCACGAACAGCTGATCGCGTTCATAGCGGCGATCTACCCGGTAGGATACACACGCGGCATACACGTATTCAGCCTACGAATTAAGGACCACGAATTTCACTCGTTCGATTTCGACCGCTCGGACTTCACCAAAATACCCAAAATCACAAAATTACTTGATCGACCGCTTCGCCCAGAAAAAGGCACACCAAAAGAGACACAAATGCCTAGTCGATCGATCTCCGTCATCGTTATGTATTAAAATCCTGTTAAAGCCCTCAGCATTTAAGATATCATCTAATATTCAAGTTCCTCCTTATAAAAAGCTTACACTTTTATTACGTATCGTTGCGCAGTTATAACATATTAGAAAATTCTGTGCAACGATGCATAACCATAGCGATATTATCATTAAAAGTTGTAAGATAATCATAATGGTATAGTTTATCATTCTATATGGTGTATATATGATGCCAAAGTTCAAATAGTTCAAATTTATGATAGGACTTTTCTTTTTAATAGATAGCTTCTATATGTGATCATAAAATATTAGTAAAAGAAAAACTTGAATTTGAATTTAAATATGTATCTAATCTTCAAAGGACATTCATAGTACATTCTTACAATTTAGCAGAATTTATTACATATTTAACTTTTCACTGTGATTTCGAATGCAAACATTGAAATTTATTTATAATTTTTAGGTTTTTGTATGTTTAATAATATGGCATTAATTACAAATATTAAACAAAATAAAACGAATCTATTCTGTGTGTTGCAATACGTTGATGAAAAAATATGGGTTGAATTGAAAGAGTCTTGTTTGTATGAATATTTTGTTCGGAAAGATTCTTTTTCCCAGTAGTTTTTTTTCTTACTCCTTTAATTAAATAATTTAAATAATAGTATACTATTTTACTAGACTACTTTACTATGAATTCATGTCATATTGCAGCTAAAACAATATTTTTATTGTTAAATAATGTGGAGTTTATTTTTACTGATACATATGATGTCAGACTTGATCCTGATTTTTTTAACGAAATTCGTTCAAACAAGTGCACGAGATGTGTATGAAGTTAGTCCCACACTTTAATAAAATTAAAATAATCGAAATTGTACTGCATTGTACATATTAGTTTTGTATCAAATTGCACCGTAGTTAATTTTTTGAAATCACGCACGAATTTCCAAAAAATCCAAATTTTTGAATTTTTTTAGTAGCCCCACACTTTTCGAAAAATGCCTTTTTCTCAACTGTACTACATTGTACTAGTTGTACCAAACATTGTACCGTTTGAAAAAAATTTCTAACAAATTTAGATTTTGAGAAAAACGAGAAAATCGAAAAATTTTGGACATTACGTAATTACGGTAACTCGTTTTTTAAGATATCGAAACGCGGCCAACGGGGTTCGATAGAAAGTCGTTTGTACCGGTTTGTACCGCTTTGAATTTTGTTTGCACCTCAACCGGACCAAAAGTACCGAATTTTGCAATTTTTAACAATACGTAAATATGGTAACTTGGCCATTTACAAGGCCTACCGAACATTATTTCGTTAAAAAAAAATTTATATCGAACATGTATTTTGAGAAAAACGAGAAAATTTAAAAATTTCTTAATATTTTGTCGAGCTATCCAAAATTAAAGAAAAAAACCATGCTTCTAAAATCATAGTTGCTGAGATAATGTAAGTTTTAGCCAGTTTGAATGCGCAAATTTAATTTCTGGCATTTGGTTCTCGAGTGTGTCGCGGTGTAGCTGTCGAGCGGCCGCGCTTCCTTTGTTTCGCCACGGGACGTTATCTTATTCGCGTATCGAAACATTTTATGACTAAATTTTTTTGGAAAAAATTTGTCAGTTAAAAACAGCAACTTTAATTCTTCCTCTGTACATAATGCAAATCGCAGCTCTTAATTTTAAGAATTCGAGCTAGATTAAAAAAAACGTTATTATAGCTGGTTAATCAGATGTAACTTTTTTTGAAAATTCGTAGAACAATAGCAACTGTGGAATGTGCTTCATACTATTTGAAACAATAAATATTACGGGAACTATTCCATTGGGTTATAAGAAATTTTTCTTTCGAAAAGTGTGTCTATTTAGATACCTACTTTTCGAAGCCATTTTAAAATAGTGTGATTGCAATAAACCGTTTTGTTTTAAGGTTTACGTGATAGTGGAAGTTTTGAGAACAATAGTTAATTTCTGTGGGTTGCTGTGTGACTACTCACAAAGAGCAAGAATTTAATTTTTTTACATAGTTTTTTTTTCTCCTTTCTGGCATACGTGTCCATATGTGTCCATATGTGTCATAACTGCCGTTGAGCAGATTCAAGCAAAGTATAGATAGCAAATGCTTTCATTATTTTGCGCTGAAGTATTTTATGCAAATTGATAACAAAACTACGGTTGATAACTATAGGTTTACGATATCGCATCGTCAATTCACAAATTGTCGAAAAATAAAACGGACAAACAATGGAACACATCCAATCATTATTTATGTTCAAGGATTACAGAAACCTAATCGACGAACGAGGCTTACCTGCGGTACCAAAATGCGACCTTTATCAAAAAATCTC